CCTCAACAAAAAAAAAAAAGGACCTTCGCGGGGTTTAACCAGAGCCATATAGAGTCTATATGGCTCTGGGTTTAACCAGACAGTTACACGACTTCCACCAATCAGATGCATCACTGTGGGATTGTGGGTAATGAAGTACTTATCCAAGACATCGCGAATAAAAGGCATTTATCTTAAAACAAGGTTAGTGCCCCATGAACTTTTGGCATTTATATGAGCATATACAATCGCTAAGTACAGCCGTAGCTGGTTTTAAGTCTACCATGTATGGTTACGTTTTTATGGCTCATACCCCAACTGTCAATGGAGAAATTGTATTGAATTCTTACTTCCGGCTAGCCTGGGAAAACCCAGACAACTTCCGGCAAATTTAGATTTGCTCTGAAAGTTAGTCTGGCAAAGAGCTCATTCAAGCCCATTTCCAATCCGCCGAAATCGCGGCACCAATCAGAAACGTTGGGGCGGGCTTTACACGATGACGACAGCGCTGGGATTTTGAAGCAGATTCTGTAGCCTACATTACAAAGATGGATGCCGCCGTCGAACATCACTCGTTCGAATCAGCTATCGCGTCTGTTTTAAGCGATTTGAACGTTTCCTTTTAGTTAAAAACCGAGCAAAGAACAACACTCGGAGATGTTTCTCCGCCGCTCTGCATACGTCATCTCCTTCATCGCTCTGATTGGGTTTAGGTCTATCCGCGACGTCCGTTGGTGACGCCCCTCTGGAAATGATTTGTCTATGACGCTTTGCCAGACCATAACTCAGTTACAACTGAGAATGGTCTGGTTTTAACCAGGCTAACTTCCGGCATGAAAATACTGCCATTTTTAATTATATTTAAAACATCAAAGCAATTAAAAATCTGAGCTTTGCTAGATTTCTAGCAGATACTAGTTAGTGAAGAGAATTTAACTTTAAAGCATGTCAAGCATCTGCAAATGAGTTTTATTTATATGGTACATGTTATTTCAAAATATTTACAGAAAAGTATTGATTTAATATTTTCTTACAAATTTCTAAGTTCCTCTAGTAAAAAGAGCAAAGGAGTCTAAAGGTTCGCTCACACTGACTGGGTTAAATTGCTTTAAGTTACTTAAGTCCTGTAGTGTTGGTTAGTAGACTCGGTTAGTTTCTACCAAGTAAACTGGTCAATACGGAGCCCCCCTAGTCTCACTTTGTCAAAAAAATGTATTATAACTATCTCGTGGCCTCAAGATAATAACTCGTGGCCTCAAGATACTATCTCGTGGCCTCAAGACTACTGGCATGAAGATATTATATTATTATGATAATACAGATTTTAACATACGGTTTTCTGTTAAGGTGCTTTGCAACCATGTGTATTGAGAAAAGACAATATAAATAGTAAAAAAAAAAAATTCACATTATAAATTACTTGACATTTATGCTGTCAGTGTGAACGATTAGATCCACTTGCGCTTTTATTCATGCTGGCTGAGATCATCATTTGTCGTTACTGTATGCAAGAGTTGTGTTGTGTTCGGTCAGTTCCTTCAGCTTGAGTTTGGTTTAGAAATGTAAGGTTGGTTAAGCCATGGTTTTAGCCGAACACTGTAAATACCGCTTTATTTTGATCCTTTTGTAACTGTGATGCGTTGAGAAATGTTTGCCTGGGCTTCAGAAAGCCGGTGGTGTGAATTTCTTAAATGTGGCTTCCTGATCATATCATGTGATTTCCTGCGTGTGATAAGAAACATCTCATCCCTTCTCAGAGCAAACGGTGAACATTTCTGTTGTGTGCATGCAACACAGTGTATAAATCAATTTTGAGACATTTCATACATACATATATATATATATGAAATATATATATGCAGGATCCCACAGCTATAGGTCATTTAATTTTCCACAAGTTTTCAGGTAGTTTGATTCTAAATATAAATATAAAATATAAAAAAAGAGGAAAAAAAAGAGTTTGCTTGGGTGCATATGAATGATTTAAATGATTATATTTGTTAGTGTAAAACTCTCTCTAATAAGACATAAAACGTCTTCTCAATCTACACAAGCCGTCAAAACGAGTGATGTCCGTCAGATGGAGTGATTTGGACATGTTTTGATGTGGGGTTAAAGGGATGGAGATGTTGCATCTTCATTTTACACTTTACAACTTCCACACGGCTAATGATTAACATGCATGTGAACGCGATGCGAATATCATCCTGCTGTTACTGCATGGCTGTAAACAGACTTTCACGAGAAAAAAGAGAAAGGAAATAAAGGATATAAGTTTGATTCTCTCCATTTCATTCTCCTGTATTCTGTTTTCACACTCATCCAGATAAAATTGTAAATAGCACATTAGTTGCATATATTGGCTTCATGTGTAAAATGTAAAAAATGTAAAAATTTGTTCCTCAATAAAGATATTAAAGTGTGAAACAAGATAGTTATCTTTTTATTTGGTGAATGAGACGCTGCAGTAATAGGCAAGGCAAGTGTATTTATATAGCACATTTCATACACTGTCAATTCAAAGTACTTTACACAGAAAGAAATAATCACAAAATAAAAGCAAGGAAGATTAAAACAGGAAACTGAAGGAAGGGTCTATTTTTTAAAGAATGAGCCGAGATGCAATGATTTGTTTCTCTGAATCATATGCACACTGATTCATTCACATACGGTTTTTGCACTTTTCAGCAGAATGAACTTCATCAGAAATGTATAATTAAAATGAATACTATTTTTCTTCTCTTTTGTTCCTGAAACCTAAAAATGTGTTTGTATGGTTGTCTATTACGTATTTCACCCAAAAATAAAAGCCCTGTCCTGTCATCATTTACCCACGCTCGTGTCATTACACATGAATGACTGTATTTCTTCCGATAATTTAAAAAATAAAAAGCTCAGGATCCCATTGACTTTTATTGTATGAGCAAAAACAGTTTAAACATTCGAAATATCGAATTTGTGTTCAACAGAAGAAAAATATATATATATTTTGGTGAATATCTTACTTGAATACTCTTGAAACTGATCTCCTTAACTGATTGTTTAAGGAAAAATGACACTTTTATTGTTCTTTATAATTTCCTTTTTTGAGCTCCCCCAAATTTTACTTTTGCTTTAAACAACCAATGAAATTAATTTACATGTAATATGTCATTGTTGAATACATCTTTGCATCACAACAGTTTTTGACCTAAAGCAGTTTTTTCATTACAAACATAATGACTTTCTCTTTCGGTGAAGAACATTTGAAAAGCTTTTTGTGTGTGTGTGTGTGTGTGTGTGTGTTTTTGTGTGTGTGTGTGTGTGTGTGTGTGTGTGTGTGTGTGTGTGTGTGTGTGTGTGTGTGTGTGTGTGTGTGTGTGTGTGTGTGTGTGTGTGTGTGTGTGTGTGTGTGTGTGTGTGTGTGTGTGTGTGTGTGTGTGTGTGTGTGTGTGTGTGTGTACCCCTCTGACTTTCATTGTATAAACAAAAACGTCATAAAAATATCTTGTGTTCCACAGAAGAAGAATTTTACATTATTTGTATTACAATATCTTATGTAAATACTCTTAAACCTGAAGACTGACTCATTACTCCATTATGTTTACGAGTTCAAATCACACTTACAATATATAATTGTACAATTATTGAAATACAGTAAAGCAGTTTTTTTAATAACCATTGCTGGAGATGGACAGACTCGATTGAAAGGTGAACAAAGTTGACTTTTGACACTCATTTTGACTCTTCAACTTAAATATAGTGTCAGTACGTTTGACACATCTGTGTGTTCCTTCAGATGAGGGGCAATGGTGACATTGTGAAACCAATCAAACATTAACAGTTCAAACGTGTGATCTTGAAGGACATGAGATGAACGTTACTGGCATCAGGTCTTTATTGGCTCTTTAATTGACATGAATCACCTGACTTTGAACGGACCACACACACACACACACCCCATGACGTCCGTACGGATCGCAGCTTCTGCTCGACCTCTGGCGTGTCTGTCAATGATTGAGCGCGTTGAGTACGTGGTCACCGTTTCTGCTTCTGTTTTTATCAATAAGCAGTGTTTGTTTCCTTGTGTTATCGCAACTTACAGTATGATCCGCACAGTTCATTGTGATCGGTAAACACTCACACGGTTTCCGCCCTCTTAATGATTTAGAGTTTAAATGTCATTGTATGATTTAGTTGAATCTGATCAAACCGGTCCGGAACATGTCGAGGTCATATTTAAAAAGAAGTAAGAAATTATACTTTACTTAATAAAAAAAAAAATTTTTTTTTAGGAACATTACGGGTTTTTTTTTGTCCAATTAAGCAAGTTTCTGGCCCAAATTCTCTTGCAAATAATTAATAAAAAAATGCGGACAAATATTTTATTTAAATTGTGACTTGTATACATCATTGTAGTATTTAATTGATTTATTCTGACCTATAAAATCATTAAAAAATATTGTATTATAAAAAAAATAATATATATTTCAATTAACTTTTTTTTCAATTTTTGTTTAAAAAAACTCTAAAGATATACTGTAAATTACAGTTATTAGACTTTGTAGGAAAAAATGCTTAATTGTCATTAAAACAATGTCAATGCCCCCCCCCCCCCCCCCCCCCAAACACACACACACACACACACACACACAAATGATAAGTTTTACAATCTCCTCAAATATCTTTTTATTAAAAATTTTACACTTTTTAAAAAGAATAATTACACAGAGGCACCAGTTGACTCCTTGTTTTTTTTTTGGTTGTTTTTTTAAATGTCAGTTTTCCAGTAGGTGTAAAATATTTTACATAGCAAAGCAAAGCAGTAGTGATGCATATAGTCATCAAATCATCATCGCAGTTAGTGAGGTCATCAAAAGCAGTACGCAAAACAATTTAGAAAGCATAATGACGTGTCTTCAGTCGTCCGACATACTCTGAGATCATAATTTTTTACAAAAATTGAAATACTGTGCGTATTATCACAATAAAACGTGTTTGCGTGTCATTTGTGTAGTGCAATATGAACGTTCCATTCAGTGTAAACATGAACCGTTTGTCCTTCAGTTTGAAAGGTTCTCAGTATTCCTCTTTAATGGTGGTCGATATATTGTCTGTCATCAAAGCGTTGTTGGTGCTGGAGACCATGGTGGTGCTGGCGTGACTGGGCATGCTGGGAGGTGTGGATGTACAGCTCTGCTGAGCCTGTTGCAGTCGCTTCTTGTTCATTTTCCTTTCTTTGGCTCGTCTGTTTTGAAACCAGATCTTCACCTGTGAATCAGAGAGTCAGCGTGATTTACCTGATTCATCTGGAGCTAGAACAACCGATGAGCGTATAGACACATCCCATCTACTCCTACTCGTACTCGTGTGTGTGTGTGTGTGTGTGTGCTTTATTTTATATATTTTTTGTAGTAGCTGTAGTAGACGCATCCCATCTACTCGTACTCATGTGTGTGTGTGTTATTTTTTTTTTGTAGTAGTAGTAGCTGTAGTAGACACATTCCTTCTACTCGTACTCATGTGTGTGTGTGTGTGTGTGTGTTATTTTTTATATATTTTTTTGTAGTAGCTGTAGTAGACACATCCCTTCTACTCGTACTCATGTGTGTGTGTGTGTGTGTGTGTGTTATTTTTTATATATTTTTTTGTAGTAGCTGTAGTAGACACATCCCATCTACTCGTACTCGTGTGTGTGTGTGTGTGTTATTTTTTTTTTTGTAGTAGCTGTAGTAGACACATCCCATCTACTCGTACTTGTGTGTGTGTGTGTGTGTTATTTTTTATATATTTTTTTGTAGTAGCTGTAGTAGACACATCCCATCTACTCGTACTCGTGTGTGTGTGTGTGTGTGTGTGTTATTTTTTTTTTTTGTAGTAGCTGTAGTAGACACATCCCTTCTACTCGTACTCGTGTGTGTGTGTGTGTGTTATTTTTTATATATTTTTTTGTAGTAGCTGTAGTAGACACATCCCATCTACTCGTACTCGTGTGTGTGTGTGTGTGTGTTATTTTTTTTTTTTGTAGTAGCTGTAGTAGACACATCCCATCTACTCGTACTTGTGTGTGTGTGTGTGTGTGTGTGTGTGTGTGTGTTATTTTTTTTTTGTAGTAGCTGTAGTAGACACATCCCATCTACTCGTACTCGTGTGTGTGTGTGTGTGTGTGTGTGTGTGTGTGTGTGTGTGTGTATTATTTTATATATTTTTTTGTAGTAGCTGTAGTAGACACATCCCATCTACTCGTGTGTGTGTGTGTGTGTGTGTGTGTGTGTGTGTGTGTGTGTGTGTGTGTGTGTGTGTGTGTGTGTGTGTGTGTGTGTGTGTGTGTGTGTACTTTATTTTATATATTTTTTGTAGTAGCTGTAGTAGACAAATCCCATCTACTCGTACTCGTGTGTGTGTGTGTGTGTGTGTGTATTATTTTATATATTTTTTGTAGTAGCTGTAGTAGACACATCCCATCTACTCGTGTGTGTGTGTGTGCGTGTGTGTGTGTACTTTATTTTATATATTTTTTGTAGTAGCTGTAGTAGACACATCCCATCTACTCGTACTCGTGTGTGTGTGTGTGTACGTGTGTGTGTATTATTTTATATATTTTTTTGTAGTAGCTGTAGTAGACACATCCCATCTACTCGTACTCGTGTGTGTGTGTGCGTGTGTGTGTGTGCTTTATTTTATATATTTTTTGTAGTAGCTGTAGTAGACACATCCCATCTACTCGTGTGTGTGTGTGTGTGTGTGTGTGTGTACTTTATTTTATATGTTTTTTGTAGTAGCTGTAGTAGACACATCCCATCTACTCGTACTCGTGTGTGTGTGTGTGTGCTTTATTTTATATATTTTTTGTAATAGCTGTAGTAGACACATCCCATCTACTCGTACTCGTGTGTGTGTGTGTGTACGTGTGTGTGTTATTTTATATATTTTTTGTAATAGCTGTAGTAGACACATCCCATCTACTCGTACTCGTGTGTGTGTGTGTGTACGTGTGTGTGTGTTATTTTATATATTTTTTGTAGTAGCTGTAGTAGACACATCCCATCTACTCGTGTGTGTGTGTGTGCGTGTGTGTGTGTACTTTATTTTATATATTTTTTGTAGTAGCTGTAGTAGACACATCCCATCTACTCCTACTCATACTCGTGTGTGTGTGTGTGTGTTATTTTATATATTTTTTTGTAGTAGCTGTAGTAGACACATCCCTTCTACTCGTACTCGTGTGTGTGTGTGTGTGTGTTATTTTATATTTTTTGTAGTAGCTGTAGTAGACACATCCTATCTACTCGTACTCGTGTGTGTGTGTGTGTGCGTGTGTGTGTTATTTTATATATTTTTGTAGTAGCTGTAGTAGACACATCCTATCTACTCGTACTCGTGTGTGTGTGTGTGTGTGTGTGTGTGTGTGTGTGTGTGTGTTATTTTATATATTTTTTGTAGTAGCTGTAGTAGACACATCCCTTCTACTCGTACTCGTGTGTGTGTGTGTGTGTGTGTGCGCGTGTGTGTACGTGTGTGTATTATTTTATAAAAAAAATTGTAGTTGCTGTAGTAGACACATCCCATCTACTCGTACTCGTGTGTGTGTGTGTGTGTGTATGTGTGTGTATTATTTTATATATTTTTTGTAGTATCTGTAGTAGACACATCCCTTCTACTCGTACTCGTGTGTGTGTGTGTGTGTGTGTGTGTGTGTGTGTGTGTGTGTGTGTGTGTGCATGTACGTGTGTGTGTATTATTTTATATTTTTTTTTGTAGTATCTGTAGTAGACACATCCCTTCTACTCGTACTCGTGTGTGTGTGTGTGTGTGTGTGTGTGTGTGTGTGTGTGTGTACGTGTGTGTGTATTATTTTATATATTTTTTGTAGTATCTGTAGTAGACACATCCCTTCTACTCCTACTCGTACTTGTGTGTGTGTGTGTGTGTGTGTGTGTGTGTATTTTATATATTTTTTGTAGTAGCTGTAGTAGACACATCCAATCTACGATTTATTGAGTAAATGAGTGTATACGTATTTAAGTGCATTTTTAGAATTTATGTGCAGTGTTTTTTATGAGATATACCAAAATGTGCATAGAACTGACTATCATCTTCCTCTTTTCTATATGTAGTAGGCTACATTTAATTTGGGTGGTTTCCCTGTGTACCATTCCGTACATATCACCATCATCATATGCGTTTCTTATTCTGTCCCACAACATTACGCCCTTTAACACAAAACTCAGTCACAATTAGACGGCATGAATTTGCAGGGTCATTTGACTTTCTCTTTCTGAGGGTTCATGACCTACCTGGCGTTCTGATAGGCTCAGGGCCCCGGCGAGCTCCGCCTTCCTTCTGATGGTGATGTATCGGCTGAAATGAAATTCCTTCTCCAGCTCCAGGCGCTGAACGTCACTGTACACCACTCGGTATTTGTCCTTCGTCCGCGTCTTCCCTCCTGCCAGCACAACAGGGATATTTCTCTTTTTAATTGTCATATTCAGTTCTTGTGGTTGCTGAATTAAAAATATATATATATTTTATAGAGAGTATTATTATCCATTTAATGGAATTAGTGTATTTAAAAGATGTTTATTTGTATACAAATATCTCCAATAAGACAAAAACTGCAATTTGTATTCACAAAGAGCATAATAATTTTCAGCTTATTAAAAGTCATGGGCATTTTTTATCTACACACATAGAAAACAGATTTGGGGGGTTCTATATAGAACACTAGTGTTCTTGACTCAATTTTAAAGAACACTTTATTAAAAAAAATTCTATATATAAGGAGAAATGTCTTAAATTATTGTATAATAATTTCATGTTTAATGGGTTATTTCAATTTTTCTAGTGCTAAAGTATCTTTACAAGCTGTTTTCATAAAATGTTATTAAAATTAAAAGTGAATTCAAATTTAATTAAAATTAAAAAATTATTAAATATAATTAATAATCCATGAAATGATGGGAACCCCAAAAAGTTCTATATATGAAGTGCCTGACAGAACCATTTAAAGTATAATGTAACTTCAATGTTATTCAAATACAAATAATAAATAATCGAAAAATGTTTTTGAAGTGTTTGGGTGTCAAAAAGGAAGTGCCGCAGATAAGATCTCAGTTCCTGTTTTCATAATCTTTCACCATCCAAGACAGTTTTGGCACTAATAACGTGAATATTCCTCTGATGATGAAGAACACCACTGTGGTAAACCTCTCAAAGTTTTTGGTTCCCCTTGAGATGTTGTTTGCGTGATGTTTTGTTAGCGTTAACCACATTCTGACATTAGACCGCCTCGTCTTACCCCACTAAACATGACATGAACCTCGAAATAATCACAGGGAGTATTTAAAAAATGGACTGGCCCTAAATATGTTAATGTGATTCTGTTACAGTAGACTCTGCTCAAGAGCTTTTCTTAGATCTAACTTTACTTTTCAGTTTGTTGCAATGACATTTAAACAGCTTTGATGCTTTATTTCCTATGATATTCAAATATTATATGTCGAAATATGTTTGGTATTGCAGTATGCTAAGTCTTTAATGTTGTGGCACAAGAAACATTGGACTTATTCAGAATCATTTTTCAGCAGATCCAGTTTTGTTTGCATTTCAATTTCCATCAACAACATGTTTTTCGTTGTTTCCCTCATCTTTCTGTTTGATACAAAACTTTTAAAATCGACATGAAATCAATATTTACCCTATTTACTTTGTTAGTGCACATTATTAGTCTTGTGTTGAATTATTTACCCATGCAAGTTAATTAATACATAAAAGAATATCAAAATCTGAAAATCTGCTTCCCAGCGAGCTGAATGAAACGCCCACTTTTTTTTAGATCCAAACAATTCCTAGTGGGATAAAACAAGCCACGGCCACTAATTTTCTCATTCAGAAATCCGTTTCACTCAGAAAATACGCCACAATACTAAAGTAAAGTCGTTCACAACTTCCGGTTCACGCTGACTTTAACAGGTCAAGTCACCTTTATATACTGTATAAGAGCTTTACAACGATAACAGGAAAATTATTTAATGAAGCAAATAAAGATAATTTCGGCTGTGCAGCAACTCTAAAAGAAAACAGTGTCATTGTTCAGCTGAAGTCAGTTATTACATTAGTTCATTTTTAATCTATAAAGCAGTGATGTCATCCACCAGCTCAGTTCAGTTCTCATGCAATATTGCCAGTGCAGGCAAATCAATAATAATGTTGAATAATAAGTGTCCCCAACTAAGCTAGCTGGAAGCCAAACTCCATCAGGTGACAGACTGGAGAAAAAACCCTGTGAGAATTGAAACCAGGCTCAGTCAGTCCTCTGGCCAACAAATGATCATGTGTGATTATGATTATGCATCACAAGTCATAAATTAAACAATGCTGCATTCCAAGGTAGGAGGGCATCACGGCACATCCGAATCTAATGTCTCCTGAGCACATTCATCTCTGCTCGATTGTTGAAGGCATCATAGGTGGATCCTTCACTGCCTTTGATTTCCCACAATCCTCTGTGACAGTTAAGTGACAGTTAAGCCAAAGCTGCTTTAAAGTAACGCTGGGTTCACACCGGACGCTGAAGCGACGCGGAACGGAGGCCGCTTCCGCTTTAGTGGCCTCCGCGTCTGGTCTAGCCACTGTTTAGTGGCCTCCGCGTCTGGTCTAGCCACCGTTTAGTGGCCTCCGCGTCTGGTCTAGCCACCGTTTAGTGGCCTCCGCGTCTGGTCTAGCCACCGTTTAGTGGCCTCCGCGTCTGGTCTAGCCACCGTTTAGTGGCCTCCGCGTCTGGTCTAGCCACCGTTTAGTGGCCTCCGCCTCTGGTCTAGCCACCGTTTAGTGGCCTCCGCCTCTGGTCTAGCCACCGTTTAGTGGCCTCCGCGTCTGGTCTAGCCACCGTTTAGTGGCCTCCGCGTCTGGTCTAGCCACTGTTTAGTGGCCTCCGCGTCTGGTCTAGTCACGTTTAGTGGCCTCCGCGTCTGGTCTAGCCACCGTTTAGTGGCCTCCGCGTCTGGTCTAGCCACCGTTTAGTGGCCTCCGCGTCTGGTCTAGTCACGTTTAGTGGCCTCCGCGTCTGGTCTAGCCACCGTTTAGTGGCCTCCGCGTCTGGTCTAGCCACCGTTTAGTGGCCTCCGCGTCTGGTCTAGTCACGTTTAGTGGCCTCCGCGTCTGGTCTAGCCACCGTTTAGTGGCCTCCGCGTCTGGTCTAGCCACCGTTTAGTGGCCTCCGCGTCTGGTCTAGCCACCGTTTAGTGGCCTCCGCGTCTGGTCTAGTCACGTTTAGTGGCCTCCGCGTCTGGTCTAGCCACCGTTTAGTGGCCTCCGCGTCTGGTCTAGCCACCGTTTAGTGGCCTCTGCGTCTGGTCTAGCCACCGTTAAGTGGCCTCCGCGTCTGGTCTAGCCACCGTTTAGTGGCCTCTGCGTCTGGTCTAGCCACCGTTTAGTGGCCTCCGCGTCTGGTCTAGCCACCGTTTAGTGGCCTCCGCGTCTGGTCTAGCCACCGTTTAGTGGCCTCCGCGTCTGGTCTAGTCACGTTTAGTGGCCTCCGCGTCTGGTCTAGCCACCGTTTAGTGGCCTCCGCGTCTGGTCTAGTCACGTTTAGTGGCCTCCGCGTCTGGTCTAGTCACGTTTAGTGGCCTCCGCGTCTGGTCTAGCCACCGTTTAGTGGCCTCCGCGTCTGGTCTAGCCACCGTTTAGTGGCCTCCGCGTCTGGTCTAGTCACGTTTAGTGGCCTCCGCGTCTGGTCTAGCCACCGTTTAGTGGCCTCCTCGTCTGGTCTAGCCACCGTTTAGTGGCCTCCGCGTCTGGTCTAGTCACGTTTAGTGGCCTCCGCGTCTGGTCTAGCCACCGTTTAGTGGCCTCCGCGTCTGGTCTAGCCACCGTTTAGTGGCCTCCGCGTCTGGTCTAGCCACCGTTAAGTGGCCTCCGCGTCTGGTCTAGCCACCGTTTAGTGGCCTCCGCGTCTGGTCTAGCCACCGTTTAGTGGCCTCCGCGTCTGGTCTAGCCACCGTTTAGTGGCTTTCGCGTCTGGTCTAGCCACCGTTTAGTGGCCTCCGTGTCTGGTCTAGCCACCGTTAAGTGGCCTCCGCGTCTGGTCTAGCCACCGCTCTGCGTCTGGTCTAGCCACCGTTTAGTGGCCTCCGTGTCTGGTCTAGCCACCGTTTAGTGGCCTTCGCGTCTGGTCTAGCCACCGTTTAGTGGCCTCCGTGTCTGGTCTAGCCACCGTTTAGTGGCCTTCGCGTCTGGTCTAGCCACAGTTTAGTGGCCTCTGCTTCTGGTCTAGCCACCGTTTAGTGGCCTCCGCGTCTGGTCTAGCCACCGTTTAGTGGCCTCCGCGTCTGGTCTAGCCACCGTTTAGTGGCCTCCGCGTCTGGTCTAGCCACCGTTTAGTGGCTTTCGCGTCTGGTCTAGCCACCGTTTAGTGGCCTCCGTGTCTGGTCTAGCCACCGTTAAGTGGCCTCCGGGTCTGGTCTAGCCACCGTTTAGTGGCCTCCGCGTCTGGTCTAGCCACCGTTTAGTGGCCTCCGCGTCTGGTCTAGCCACCGTTTAGTGGCCTTCGCGTCTGGTCTAGCCACCGTTTAGTGGCCTCCGCGTCTGGTCTAGCCACCGTTTAGTGGCCTTCGCGTCTGGTCTAGCCACCGTTTAGTGGCCTCTGCGTCTTGTCTAGCCACCGTTTAGTGGCCTCCGCGTCTGGTCTAGCCACCGTTTAGTGGCCTCCGCGTCTGGTCTAGCCACCGTTTAGTGGCCTCCGCGTCTGGTCTAGCCACCGTTTAGTGGCCTTCGCGTCTGGTCTAGCCACCGTTTAGTGGCCTCTGCGTCTGGTCTAGCCACCGTTTAGTGGCCTCCGCGTCTGGTCTAGCCACCGTTTAGTGGCCTCCGCGTCTGGTCTAGCCACCGTTTAGTGGCCTCCGCGTCTGGTCTAGCCACCGTTTAGTGGCCTTCGCGTCTGGTCTAGCCACCGTTTAGTGGCCTCCGCGTCTGGTCTAGCCACCGTTTAGTGGCCTCCGCGTCTGGTCTAGCCACCGTTTAGTGGCCTCCGCGTCTGGTCTAACCACCGTTTAGTGGCCTTCGCGTCTGGTCTAGCCACCGTTTAGTGGCCTCCGCGTCTGGTCTAACCACCGTTTAGTGGCCTTCGCGTCTGGTCTAGCCACCGTTTAGTGGCCTCCGCGTCTGGTCTAGCCACCGTTTAGTGGCCTTCGCGTCTGGTCTAGCCACCGTTTAGTGGCCTTCGCGTCTGGTCTAGCCACCGTTTAGTGGCCTCCGCGTCTGTTGTGAACGACACCATAGGTTAACATGGGCGCCGAAAGGAAGCGCCCTCCGTTCCGCGCTGCTTCCGCGTCGCTTCAGCGTTCGGTGTGAACCCGGCGTGAGCCTGAGGTACAGAGGGAAGGAGACTAGAGGCCGTTTAGTGGCCATTTAGTGGATGTCAATGGAGGAGTGGCTTCACACTGAATA